TAGCTATGTCTGGATTAAGACCCCTTCCTTGTAAACCTGAGAACTGCTCACACATTTCCCAAGTCACCTGGGTTAGGGATTGAGTTACCTTTTCTGTTTGGTTTATTACATTCTGTCAGGGGTGGGTTGTTTGCATTCCAGTTTTGATGGTGGAGACTGGAGTGGGACTCCTGCTATTTGGTAGTACCCTATACACTCCATTTCTGAGGGCATGTATGTTATCTTGTTGGTGCTTCAATGCCACCCATTTAGCAACACTGTAATTCATCAAGGGTAAAGAGTATACCTGGTTAAGAAGTGTTGTGGTTTTCAACAGGTGTGTTCCCTTATCACTGAGATGTCACACCTCATGAATTATCTTCAGACACTTTTGAAAGGAAGCTCATCTAGGTAACATTAACACTTGATCCTCTACCAGTTCAATGTGGGATTCTAGTAATAGGAGGTTAGATCATATCAGAAGTTAATATTTTCCTCTGCTTAAAATATATTTCCAATAGATCCTTACCTCTTTTTACACTTCCTCCCCACTTCAGGTGTGTCCTTTTCATTCTATGCCTAATCTTGAAGTGAATATTGGGTTTATATTGTATAGAGGGAGTCAGCTGTGCTAGGAGGTTGTTGGTAGGTAGTTGTCACATGCTTATTTGCATACTAAAGTGCAGCTGGAACACAAGAAAACACATGAAAGTAGGTGGGAGTATCGAAACTAGTGGCAGACAAAATTTGTGCATATAGAGGGCAGTAAGAATCAAGAAAAGCTTTTGTCTGAGAAGAGGTATCTATCGTGAATAGATTTTCTGTGTAGAAAAATATTAATATTTATAAAACTACTACATTACATTATTGTATATTATGCTATTATGCAACATACTTGTAACCTCTAATCTGAAAGCCAGGTTTCATGTGCTAGCCCACTTTGTTAAAATAAAAATTTGCAATGAAATGCATCCTGTTAAAAACTAATATGAACAGGTATTACTTATCTCATTACATTTTAATCTCTTTATAAGTGACATACACCAGCTTTAAAAATATCCCAGTTCATCTCTTGAGCTCACTATGGGGAAAAGTCTACTGTAGGATACCATTAGTTTCAAATTACATCAGAGTTTTGTCTAAATCCAAAAATAATTACCAAAGTAAATATTCCAACAAAATAAATGTCCAAACATAAGAACAAAAACAAGTGTATTACCTTTATTTAATATTTAAAAACATATAAAATCATAATTAGTTAAGAGTATTTGAAGACATGATGATAAAAGGATTGAGACTGCTTTAGATAAACAAGTTTACTTTTATATGGAAAAAATAATTATTTTTGGCTTTTGTGAAAATCTTAATAATTTCAGTGAACAATCACATGAAACTCTTCTAAGGTGTGTTTAAGTAAACTCATTCTAATAGGTACTTTGATATTTGGATGTTATTTTGTACAAGTCTTTAGCCATTTTGTTGTGGAACCAACACGTACAAATAAACTGATAAGATGGTTTTACAAGGCAGCTCATATGTGTGTTTTTTAGGCTATATGAACTAGATTAGGTAGTTCCCTTTAACATACAGAGCATGTTTACAATTACAGACCAAAACAATAGATACTGAAAGCTTAGGAACTTTATATTTAAAATGTTCAATTAAGTTCAATTTTTCTAAATGCTCCTTAATTTTATATATCATGCCAATGTGAAGCCATTTTTACCTAAAAACTTATTTTTGTTATCAAATTATTTTGGAAGCATTTTTAAGCATGTCAGGTAATGATCTTAATTGATTTTTTAATCAATGATATAATAGTGATATGAAACTTACAACAATGAAATAAAAATCTGTGAGTGCTGTCTTGTTATAAATCTCACATTTGAATTAACCATTATAACTGAATCAAGATGTCTAAACAAACCAGCAGTTGGTCCTGTTTATGTAAGCTAAATACTGTTGTGTTTACGATTAAGGTGTGATAAAAGTAAGCAACGTGTTATGTATGTTTAAGTTGGTAAAAATATCATTTACATACTTCTGTTAATGTAATGGTTTGAAAGACATTGAAAACTTGTAGCCACTGTTTCTCACGAAAGTAAAAAAGAAGATTAGCCAAAGAATGAGCTAATTTTATTCCATGCTATGCTCCTCTTTTTAAATCTTATTAAATAAAAGAATTTCTTTTAGCAAAATGAATCCATGAAATGTTTTTATACCGTTATAAGTCAGCAATAAGTTTATAGTTCCTTCTAATTTCTGTATTTCATTTCAAAATTATTTCTGAAAGTATATTCATTTTAAGTAAATGAAAAACAAAAAGTAGCAAATAACAAACAAAAGTAAGACTGATTGTGGATGCACATATATTTGCAACACACACATATGCTGGTGGTGCAGAATGGTAGTTCTACATTTACACATTCGTTGGCCAGTAACCTTGATATGTGATTAGTAATTGCTTCACCATTGTTTTGGTATCTGCAAGATAAAGAACAGTGACTGCCACAATGTTCTTGTTAGTGGATACAACCATAATTAGTTTGTGAAGTAAGTGTTGCTTGTTGTATTGTAACTTCACCTTTGAAATGCACATTTTTTTTTTTCATGTACCATACTTGTCATCTAAAACTATGATGGCAACATCATTGTGGCTTGTTTATCCAAATTTAGGATAGAGAAGAAAAATTGCTCACTGAAGCAGAATTGCCTTGTACAGTGTCTAATGAGAAATTTCTCTCTAGTATATTTGTCATGGTCTTAGTGTTTATGTCTCAAATATGGGTCATCAGACTGATACTTGGTCAACCATGTCATATTAGAACGTTCACCATTAGTTAGCTTGTGTGGCCTATCAAAGTCTATTCTACCATTTTTTTTTCTACTGCATATGTGATCTCTAAATGAATATCAGTCACATTTGTTCTCTTACAATTAGTGTAGTTTTTCCTCTTTGTATTTATCATCTGATACAAGTTGGATACAAACTGGTTTTTATACAGGTGACTTTTGCAGCATTTGGCTCCAGTACTATTCTTAATAAGTTCTTGGGTTTGTGCTTTAAGTGGTACAGCAGTGAGCTGAGTACATTTTGGATACAAAATACATTTGACATGACTCTTGTCTGTTGACCTGCTCACTTTTAAATTCTTACACAATCTTACTTAAGTATTCTAAAAATGTTTTGTATACATTTTCTGAATGACTATAATAACTGCCCAATTGTTTGAATTTTTAACTTCTTGAAAAAAAAAAATGTTTAAATTCTTAACTTATCAATGAATAGATCTCTCAAGGTATTTGATTTATTGAGAAAGGAAGTCATTGGTTTAAGCTTTTAAAACTAAGTAATTAAATTGTGGCACAATGTAGGAAAAATCATTTAATTAAATTGAACAATTTAAGAATTCATTGAGTTATAGATACATTTATAGAAATAACCTGATATTGTAACTATTTATGGAAAAAACTGAAAAGGAAGTTCTAGCTCATGATATGTAATTTAGTGTACTGTTACATATCTTCTTGTTTGTTAATTTCTGTTAGAAATTCTTTCTGAGGAACTTTAGCGATACAAGTCCTTCCTTGATTAAACCAGTTTATTCTTTCTCGATACAAACTTTTAGTATACAGTAATTCCACAGTCAGTATGTTTCTCATCACAGTAAAGTTAACAACTTTTATAATACACGCTATAAATCACAGTGATTCACAATCTCGATAATTTCACACTCTAGCTCGAAACAAAATCGTAAATTACCCGAAATTCACCATGACTACTGTTCGCTTTATTAAACATTTATCCTCCCCTGGCTTTTCTCTGCCAGGCTTATATACTAACAAAGAGGAATATACAATATTCGAGGAGTTCTCTGATAATTCAAGAAACTCAGTCACGTGACTTCCGCTGTTGTAACAGTACCTTACAAGTACAAGTTTATTTTACAATTTTTTGCAGGAACTTTCTAAATATTGTATCTTGTTGGAATTGTGAGATTACTGTATTAATTTTGAAACTCATATGCATGAAGAGCCTATATTCTTTTAACAGATATAAATGAGAGTATTAGTTTTTGAATTTATGTAAATCGGATATATCACCACTAAAAATCTCAGCATAACAATAATATTGTTATGAACAAATAGTACTGTAATTTTAGATAAAGCAGATTATATGAGTAAAGCAGATAAATTTTTAACTAATAAGAATTTTAAGTGTAATCAAGATCTCACTAATATAAAAGAAATAGAATTGTAGTTTGATGGGTTCTAGACTGGCTCCATCTTTGTTTTAAGTAAAGACAGTGGTTGTAGGAATGTACAAAATATTTGAATTGTACATATTATTTGTAATATGTAGACAATAATTTTACCAATTTTAAGTATCATGATCATATTCATCAATTCTTTGAATATATAAATAGTAAATACAGCAGTATTTGATTCACAGCTAAATATCAGCTAGACGATATAATTACTTTCCAAGATACATTAATTTATAACTGTGGTGGTAACTTTCAGTGTGAAATTCAATATAAAAAATTAATGGCTTACATTTCAAATTTACAAGCTGCATACCAGTATTATTCAAGGAAAATTGAATCAAGATCTTAATTTGTCTTAACATAAGATTTGAAGCAAATAAAAATTCTTCCATAAAAAATTTGATGACATCAAGAAATTCTTATGTAAGAATGGTTTTCTGTTGATTTGATACATAGAATAATCCAGGACTATTTGAACAAACAAGTCCATAAAACCACCAGTATATGAAGTTTCCAAATATTCATCATCTCTAGTTTTGAAGTATATTGGTAAACATGATTTGTTTGTCAAAAAACAGCTGTGTACCCTATTTCATAGATTGTAAATACAATTTATTGGTATACAGAATTTTTTTTCCTATTGTACAGCATACACACACACACATACAAATAAGATGTCTTATAAGGACTGGATGCCACATGCAAAATTACTGTTAATAAAATTTTACTTAATGAATGAATTGTGTTTTTCAGCAAGAACTTTACCTAGAGAGATACTACCCTGGTTTGAGATAATGGAGGATTCTAATATAACACAAAAAAGAGATCTTGTTAGAACTTCTGACACATGGCTGAAGACTTAAAAGCAGCAACTTCCAATGATTCAGAAATATTGCCATATGTTAATCACTAAGGTTAAACTTTAACACCTTTAATGAACTTTTATTGCCAAGTTTTTCAGTAAAAGAAAGAACTATCTTATAACTGGAGTGATGAAGATAATGATTTTTTATTGAAAGTTGCTTTAGATACAGAAATGTGTGCAGTTCATGAAGATGAATTATATGATGGTTAGAATGACAATAACAATGAGCTTTTATTGCAGGCTGTTTTGGAAATAAAGTCCTATCCAACTCATTAAGGGAAGAGTTCTAACATAGGACAACAGTAAAACCTAACTTACAATGTATAAAAGTGACCATAAGTTACCAGTATCATTGTACTTGTAGGTTGAAAAGCACAAGATGAAATGTCCAGTGTTTGTTGTATTGATGCACTTTTATTGCAACTGTCCTAAACATAGAAAAATGCTGCACTTAAACTGTTTCCTCTAGATGACTTGTAACCTTTACATATCACCTTATTTTATGAAATCTTGTAATATTGCAAAGTATCTTTTCAATGTGAAATAAACATTTAAGTCATATATTCACCTAGAATTATTCACTTGAAACTGAAGTCAATCACAACAACAAATACAAAAGGTAAGAATGTTTTGTGGAAACCACGTTAAATATGTTATTGAAATTGCAAAATTAAAAAAAACATACAATATTCACTTATTGCTCAATAAGATTAGATTTATTCAAAATAGGATACAGACTGAGAAAGACTACATATTTGGCAGCATTAAACTAAAGTACAAATAATTTACTGACTTACTATTGTGAATAATAGTTATTCATCTTTCCGTCCATTGGTAAAGTTTAATTGTTAATGATGTTCCTTTTTAACCAGCTTTCATAATTACACAGTAAAAAATTCAGAATTTGTTAAAATCAAAATGATAAATTGGAATCTACAGATAAAATACCCTTCTTTGATATTGTTACTCTGTTCATGGATGTGCCAGTAAAGAGTCACTTAGTTGTTTTGATAATAGATTACCAGTGAGTAAGAAATTTCACATGTTAGGAATTAGTGAAGTTATTATCCTAACCCACAAATATGTATACTATACAATGGAAACTACATCATCTACTATCTGCATGCTTGTCTACATTTTGTGGATGAGACCTCCAGGTTGCTGTCAAGCACAGGTCCCTGAATATTCTTTCTTTCCACTGATGGAAAAATATTACAGCGGCAAGAAGCTCTATGTTGCACACCTATTCATTGTCAAAAGTTTTTATAGATGATCGCAAAACTACTTCAAGAGTGTGTGACAGTAACTTTTGACAGAACCATGTGGTAACGTATTATGACTATCTTATTTCTGTTTCTACAAGGAACTTTAGTAATTTTCGTAAATCTTATAACAATTTCTTTGATGTTTAAGATGTAAAAACTAAAACTTTATTATACTGTAGGAATAGTACTAAATTTACTATAGTAATCATGGTTTTTTAACAATGGTCTCTGGAGAAAAAATCTAATCACGTTGGTGAATGTATGAAACGATTTTTGTCTTCCTTAGTGAGACCAATTTTGTTAACACTCTTGATGTATGCAAGTTTTCAAGTACAACTAGGTAAATATAAGACTGTATCTCATATGTGTTTTAGTAACTTTCTTAAATGTTCATTTGTTGTATCTCCCAAGTTTATCATAAAAGGCTAAACTAGACATAGTTTTATTTTAAGCTTTAGGGGAGATATATATTGTAAGAGTCGAGATCTAATGTTCTGCATGATGAGGACAGTTGAATTAGTTGTGGATTTCAAGTTCATTACATGTTTTGTATAGATTCTAAGATAAATGCCCCCAGTGGCAAAATAGTATATCTGCAGACTTAAAATGCTAGAAACTGGGTTTTGATACCTGTGATGGGCAGAGCAAAGATAGTCCATTGTGTAGCTTTGAGTCTAACTTCAAATAAACAAACTTTGATCATTTTGAGGAATGCCCCTTATGTTTCATTTATGGTGATTTATTCTATTACATTGGGCCGTTAGTCAGTATTTTATAAACTAAGATGTTTTCATAAACATTATATAATAGTATATCTTGATGTTTTCTTAAATATGTGATTTTAGTTACATATATTGATGATAGTATATTGGGCTATGATGAAACATGAGTTTTATATATAAAATATAAATGGAGACTCATTTTAGTTGATAGAAACCAATATTCATGGTGTGTAATTTGTCATAAAAGACTAAGCTGGACATACATATGTCAGTATTTTATAAATTAAATTGTTTTCGTAAATAGTGTATCAGTTTTAACAAATTTTTCAGTATATGTTATACTTAAGTCTGAGATCTAACGTGCATTATTAATGATAACATTTTAGGTTATGATGAAAAGTGAGCTTAATATAAGAAAATCAAAGAAAACTGACTTGTATGTGACAATTTGTATATTTTTTAAGTGAAAAGATAATTCATGTTACCATAACAGTTACAAAATCCACTTGAGGTAATCTCTGTTTTGAAACAGTTAAAGAATAATCACTTGATTTATAACTAAAGATTCTCTTACGATTATTATGGAAACTTCGACAAACAATCAAATATCACTATTTGTCTCAAATGCATCTAGATTTCGTAAAATAAGTGTAAATGTTATAGTGTACATGAAGTGGAGTATTGAAAGATACAAAAATAGAATTTCTGGTTTGTCTGTTAGTTTTTTAGAAACGAAAACATTACTTGATTTAGCCATAAGCGAACATATCACTTGATTTTATACAATGGGTCAAGTTTCTGAACTAATCATCACCTAGGATGTGTCGGCAATATGTTTAAATAGCCCACTCCGTTTGTATGTGTGTGATGCTGGTCATTATATATATAGAAGTCATTCAATAGCAAACATGTAGTCGAATAAATGTAGAATATTACGTAGAGTGGTATTTAATCATTTTTGGCAATCAAAATTTATCAAGTTTTTAGCCTATAGGCAAATAGTTTCAATCAGCAAGAAACAAGCTCTTGACAAAGATTTATGAAAATAACTGAAGAAAGGTAAGAATATAGTTTTCTAGTAATGAATAAACATAGTTATTTTCATGGATCCTTTAAACTAATGGAACAAATCGATATATATTCAATTACTTTAGAACACCCTTTGAAAAGAGAAATTATTCTCCTTATTTCTATTAAACTGAAACTTGCTTTAAAATATTGCCCATTATGGCTAATCACTCACACTTCAGCAAACTTCACGATTTCTTTCACTAACTAATTTTCTGACTGAATTGCACTTACTTTTTCTCTACTCCACTTGTGCTCGCTAGTCACTGAGGTTTCGAATTTTTGACAAATTACACGATCATCGCTGTAATGTAATAATATTCAGTTAAGGTTACGAGAAAAATACCGAAGATTCAAGTAACGTGAAGTCAACAATATTAGTAAAGCCCAGTCAACAATGTAATTGCAAAAACAACGTATGACTTTTACAGAGTTATGTAACGAAATTTGTCACAACTATCACAATTCATCTTCAACATTCCTGTCTTAAAAACTAAGCAGTCATTAAATGTTAAGTCCCAAAATAAACTAATTAATAACACTAAACAGTTGTGTATCCAACACAATTTCCTCAGTTCTAATGCTTAACATTGTAACTGTTGACTTTTTTGTAAAAAATAGTCATTAAAACTGATGTTAACTTATTATATTGTTAAGTGAGGATTTTAAGTATTGTGATATATAGGTTTCTACTTTATAATGTATAATTTGTGTTATCTTGAGTATGTGTTATGTTTGTAACACCAGATAACACTTAAGTCCTTAACATTGTCGTGATAATGGTTATTAACATGTAAAACAATACTGAATTGCCTGGAAAAGTCTACACGCTACTCAGTATTGTTTCAAAAGGGTACTGATATTAAAGTAAATAAATATGGTGTTTTGAGTCCTTTTTATTTCACCATACAGTAACTTAAATTGTGAAAGTATAATCTAGGGAGGGTCGTGGAGTGAAGGAGAGATTTGCACAAAGTATAATATTGGCATCTGTTGTTTTTGTTGTTGTTGTTGTTTTTTTTCTGTTCTTTTTGCGCCAGTCATCCTACATCTCATTCAAATATTTTTATTTACTTGTTTACTAAGGAAAAACAATTATAAAGAAAGTTTAAATATGATTGGATATTATGGATAGAGTAAGAATTAGACTATCACGTAACAGTAGAGCAAATGTACAGATATAATGTTTTTTGTTTTTTATATAGTTTTTGCCCTTTCACTTCCTTTCTTTGGTGAACTGTGAAAATATTTATGCTTGAAGGCTACAGAAATGTTCTTCAATGAAAAGAGGTCAGATAACTTGGGATAAGGTACGCTTATTCATTTTATAGACAGGTTGAATTGGGTAACAAAGGAAACGTTATTAAATGTTTAACACAGTAACAAACTTACAATGTTTGGAAAAGGTTTTCTGATCATCAGGGAGATGTTCCATGGTGTAACAGTAGTCAATTTACGGATTTACAATGCTAAAGTCTAGGGTTCGATTCCCCATAGTGGATGTACCTAATAGCCTTTTCTTTATAAACAAACACAAGAAGATAAGTGCACAACATGAAAAAAGAAGTCCCACAATTGGAGAGCTATTAAGGTTTAATAAAGGTATTTTATTGATGTCTGGATTTTAATTTCATATTATGGAGTTTCGCTTTTCGATAGAAATACTGGTTTTATTGAGTTGTAATGTATACATGAGTTGTTGTTTTCATCATTGTGTTTAACAAATAAGGTTTATTAATTTACTGTTCTATCACTGAATGTGCTCGATCTTTCAGCTATAGAGGTGTCATTATGTGATGGTCAATCCCATTCTTCATTTGTAAAAGAGTAATCTAAGAGTTGGCAGTGGGTGATGTTGTCTAGATGCTTTCTTTTTAGTCTTCTTTTTCTTTATAAAGTTAATCCCAATTAGTTTGGGGTCGTCCAATATTTATGTAAACCAAGAATTTTTACACTCGTGTGGCTGGCTCAACTGGTAACCATATAAGACGAGCATGTTCGGTGACGGGGCTTCGAACTCTCGATCCTATGATTGCAAGTCGAACGTCCTAACCACAAGGCCATGCCAGGCTCTCCCACTAATCTAGCACTGCCAATTCGAGATGGCTAGTCCAGCAATAAAAATAACAAAAGTAAAAGAAAAAATATTCTGTTAGGAAGAGGTCGAAGATGTACCTGACCCTCCCAGGTCTAACAAAATTGGATCTAAAAATCCGATACACGGATGGCTGTTGGGTGGCTGCCAGCCCAGCTTAGATCAAGACACACAGTAGTGTGTTGTGTGGTCAAAAGAACCTACAGGACATTGCGTGTTGTTAACAGGAGTGATAGTTTAGTGATTTTCCACTTTCTGTAACTTGAACTGTGGTAATCCAAACTTTCATATTTTCAGTGTATGTGCTCTAAGGACAATCTATAAAGATATCCACAAGATATAAAATTTCCAATTTTGATTGAAGTTCTTCCTTTTTTCTTTTATTTGCAGTGAAAGTACGGAACTTTTATTTCAGAG